TCTTATCGTTCCCCTACATGTTCCAATGAACTTCACGGAACTTGGTCATTTTAAGCAAGTATAACTGTTGTCCAAACTGTATGCATCTTGTTCGTGTTAACTCGTTCATCAATGCGCCCAGGCAACCGATAAACCGTTTCTTCTAGCTGATGTCTGGACTACCTACCTGGTCTCTGGGTGGCGCATTTCACTTCAGTCGTCATGACTGGGTTGCTCGCACCACGGGGTCTAATGCACGTAGATGCATGCGCACTCATCTCCAGACACCCGCTAAAGAGTGACAACCAGACTTGTGTTGATGAAAGAAAAGCCTTTTTATACATTGCTCCTCTGGTTTTTGCTGCCCGTTTATGGGATCATTCTGTTCCATCTTCAAACTGGCGCCAAAAGACAGTGAGAACCGTCACAAGCTGTCACTCCCTGGAATCAGTTCGACAATTTCTCACTGCGATCCTATCAACGCGCAATGTCCTACTTAATTTCCCCCAACCTTACTTATCACATCGACTTGATTCATATCCCGCATAACACGAAATATCTTATGGAACACACTCTGCTAACGCCATTCATGTTCTCCGTGCCCTTGCTTTGACGTGGGACGAAGCTTGCGAAAGCCTGTATCGTCATGCTAGGCGAATGTTTTTCTCGATACTAGTGTTAGGTGATTTGGGCAAACATTGTTCTCAGGACATGTTCTTCTCATCTACCTATCCGCATCGCTACATGTCCTGCGCGTGCGATGTTATCCACTATGGCTTCCTCGCAACCGGAGCGGCACAGCCTATAACCGGGCTTACTGTGATGGGGATTGTTCACCACAACTTCCAGCGTCCTACCCTCTGGTTTCTGCTTCACTGTGTCAGTGGGAGGATGAATGCAATCGAGTTGTGCTTCCTTGTGTGACGCCCTTGTGCTTTGGACCGAAGCCAGTAGATCCACTGTTGCATCAATGAATCTCTACGAGTTGATGATGATAGCATTGGAGTAACGGGCGAGGCCACCACTTTTGAAAACAACATCTCACTTGTTACTGGGATGTGTCAGACCTCTTTGATTTCATCACTTATAGTTTGTCTGAGTTGTTTATCATAATCAGTGACCCGAGAGTCACCAAACATCTAGTGGTTATTTCCTTCCCGTCCTTTCGGAACCCATCGCTAATTGCACATTACTCCAGTCGAGTGCGGAGCTTGTGACCGCAAATCAACTGTTGCAAGACAGCGGCAGAAGCCTCTTAGCTCGGGCTGACGATCACATCTAGCCTGGCAACGAGTTCACTGTTGTGATCTACCGCATCCTGTTATCCACCGTGCGTATTGTTTCTCTGCGGGAAACGGGAATGACCGCGCAACCGCCTCCAATATTGGACCGTGAACTAACGGAATTAGGAGCTAGTTTGAGCTTTCCCCAACCGTAGCCGCACCAATGTATAGTCCCTGTTTTGTGCCTTCCTTCTGGCAAATGATGTGGCTTTGCTATCATGTACCTAGAGATGTCCACACAGCAGACAACTTCTACGTCTCCACCGTTTGTATGCTTTTGAGACGGGTTCCTAACTCTTACACCCGGATAAAGTGTATGTCATCAACATAATTATACGCGTTAGCTAGAGGTGGGAAACACCTCGGCCATTGTGCTGCAATACGAGAAAAGGTAAAATGACGCAACACAGGCATGCCAGCCGAGTCACCTGTAATAGATGATTATCGTTCCGGAGAGCTACCAGCCGGCTATTGTGACGCAATAAGAGGTTATATTATGCCCCACGAGTTAAGTTACGGTTGGAGAAGAGGTTATGCGGGAGGGGAAGGGACAAACTCACAACACAAACCCCACTGGTTTCGGCTCCTAGCCATTTCAACAAGTGTATCCAGCCAAATGTCTTCGTATTTCAGGCCCCAATCAGCGAGCCGAGGGGCTGCAACCGAGGCTAACTTGGAACTGAGAACCTTCATTCCTCTTGACCATGTCGGCCGTCGTCCTCCCTACTTCTTCTTCTATCCAGACCTCGGTCGCACAAACAAGGCAGACCGCGGGAGGCGGTGTGCTCGCATACGCAACACGTGACCCAATCCTGGGAGCATGGGTCGTGGAACAACGGTGCTGAGATATTTACTTTCATAAACAATGCGCTGAACACGCTCATTTCTCTCGCGGTGTTCCAACCAGGTATGAGCAGAACTGCGAACGTAATTAGCCTTTTTATGTCTGCCGATCCAATGGGTTAGGTTTTACAACCGTACAGTAGAGTCGAACATACGGCTGTATTGTACACTCTACCCTTTAGCGAGAGAGTGATGTCGCGCCGACGCCATAGGTGGGGAAGGTTAGTAAAATGGCCTCGAGCTTTTGCTATACAGTGTGTGACATCCTCTTCGATTCCACAGACGCTGATACAACAGCCTAGATAGTTGAATCTCTTAACGACTCTTAGCTGATCTCCATAAGGGATCAGCGCAGGAGGCGGTTTCTGTCAATTTTACAGGGGAGCTTTAAAATTCATGGATTCCAAGCAAAGTCCGAAACGGCTGACAGCCAGTGCTAATATGTCCAACGCAGCTTGGCACGTCTGTGAACTATCGTAGATGAGGGCAATATCGTCAGCGTGCTCTAAGTCAAGGATTCGTTCGCCTAGGAGCAGCTCCACACCTGACTCGTGTCCTGTGAACGCGATTTTCATAACTGTTAATAGCGAAGTTGAAGAGGAAAGGTGACAGCAGGCCTCCTTGTTTCACGCCGCAGGAAGTATTGAAGGACGACGATATCTTGCCGTAATCCTTCATTCTGCCCAAGCTACGCGCATACAGTGCACCGATAATATTCACCTATTTCTTGTGTAGACAATCCTAGAGAACACATCGATCAACCGAATCGAAGACACCTTTGATGTCGAGGATCACGACTACCGTGGGCCGCCAATATATGTAACTGCGCTCAGCCCATTGACATAAAGTGAAGATGTGATCGATGTAGCCCCGATCTCGACGGAACCCTACTTGCTCCTCACGAATTTGAATTTCACAGGTGCCAGTCAATCTGTATAGGATGACAGGCAAGTGACTTGGAGACGCAAGAGATCAGACTGATTCTTCTATGGTTACCGCATTCGGAACCTGATCGTCCTTTAAAATATGCGACTATAGCGAAGCCTTCCTAGTCGATTGGTAGGTTCCTGCTCCCCCCGTTTCACTAATAACTCGCATAAATCATCCGCAGTAGCAGGCCCCCGAGTTGGAAGAGAACTGGAGGCAGATCCTCTTGTGCAGCGGCCTCATTCAACCTCACCATTCCAATCTCACATGCAACTTCTGAACGAGAGAGTGGATCTAAAGGGTCAGCACAGAGAGCAAGGTGATTAATAACCAACGAGAAATCTGACGATTCCGGCCGATTAAATTGCCTTTCAAAATGCTCAGCCCAAAGCTCCAAACGTTTTGACAAATTGTAAGTAGGCTGCCCACTGCTATCAATAGTAGTTTTACTAACTCCAGGTCTCCTGCTGCCCGTTCCACATCAGACGGAACAACTTCCATGGTTACCAGGGGCAGAGGCCACTTTCATCGCTGATGCACGATGAGATGAAGTGATGCATTGGGATGCAGTGCTTACGTACTCTTTGTTTTCACTAATTCAGTAACTTGTGAATCATTACAGACTATTCCTGCTGTTATTTAGAGAGCTTTTATGTTGGTTGTTGACTCACCAAGCTTTGTTTCCCACAATATCTGTGATTTCTGACCTCTGTGCTGTCTCACTTTTTCATCACGCGAGACACTACTCCTGAACCATTAGTTCTCTTTCGGTTTTTACTGTTCGGTCATGACATCTGAGTGCAATAAAACCTTTTTTGTATTTCCGAATCATCACGGGAACGCGTGTTCCTACCCTGTTTCAATGAGATACAACTGTTTGATGGATGGTGCATGCGTTGCTTTTACTGAATGACGAACCTTTAGTCAGTTTGTGCCACATTTTGAACAACGGTTAAGCGCGTCGCGGCTTCCGTGGTGCAGTCGCGCAAAATTTGGAGTGCATCTCTACAATTGTTCCTTCCATCGGGTTGTTAATCTCGCATTTTGGCGCCATGTGTTCGCAGATACTACCAATCCTACTACCCTCACAGCCTTGTTCACCCTTTTGTTGATTATACTCCAACGCGAACGTTACAAGTAGCTTCGCATCGAACCTCTCTGGCTACGACGTTTAAAGCAAATCTTGGTGCTTCTTCACAATTTGTTGCGCCATAAAATTTACTCTTACCTACCTAACTCAGAGATAAAACACAATAACCATCACACCTTCCGTAGCAGAAATTTACGCTACGGATACCAAGGGAGCACATCAATGCGCTTCAACTTTTTTCCTCATCAGATACGCCGTACTGTGAAACTGCCTACCAACCGCAAACAGAACATATGAAACCCCCGCTTCATTTCACACCAAACTTGACAGGTTCTTAGATCTAGATGTATTATCATTCATATTCTCATCTGACAACTCAGCTAATGAACTATTTCAGGATGGCTCAAAACAGAATTGGGGCCAACATACACTCATGCAAGAGCGTGCTCATTTCTATATGTACTGATCGGTTCTTAATCGATTAATAGTTTCTCATACTTCCGAGAAATATATTTATACATATAATAGCAATAATATGGTTCCTTTTGAAACGAGATATTGCCGAAGTTTTGCTTCAATCAGTCACTGTGGATACGTGTCAAAGAAATTTAACTGGATCAAAATTCAATATTGTTCGACATTACATATCCATCTCCCCCCAACATTTTCGGTAAAAAAACATGCACACGTTTGAATATGTATTTGTCCACACTACACTCTGGGTGGTGTTTCAGTGCCATCATGAAGCAGTCATACTGTAGATTAGGTTTGAGAATTGAGCGTTCGACCATATGCTCGCATTCCTATTCATCATAATCCTCTTCCATTTCTCTCACCATTCCACGCTCAGCTATTTTATGCTGTACTCTGTTATGCAGGACCAATTAACCCACCGTCTGGTTCCAGCCCCATTGGCTGAAGATCTGGGACGCGATTTCATCTCAGGTTACCTCGGATGGAGCTCACCACTTGTTATTTATCTTCGCAATGTCAGGTTGGTCCACCGTGTGCAACCACTTCTCCCCGGTATTCCGATCTTGTTGGCCCCTTTACCGCGTTTCTCTCCTCACATAAGGTCATGTACACGCTGCTCTTTTCGGTAACTTGCATGATCGCGAACTGCATGCATTTTAAATCAAGGTCTGACGAGAACACTTGCCTGGCACTGCATCTGGGGCAGGTTCTTCTTCATGCCTCTCGGTGACGGTACACCAACCCTGTTTCCACCTGATGCCGGCTGTGTAGACAATCGCTTTAGTCATTCAGACAGTTGTGGGTCTACTCTAGCGTTCAATAAACCAGTTTTTTGGGTTGATCTGTTCCACTACCGACCACTGGCTGGCCACCAAATAACGCACGCATCTCTTTTGTGTTCCTGCTATCCAAACTCTGGTCCCTCCACTTCACTTTTCTCTTATGCCATTCTATGCATCTTCACTTGTCTCTTTTTATGTGCTGTTTTGTAAGGAGAATAACCAGTAATCGTAATCCATCAGGCGATCGGTTTGGATCAGAGACATGAAGGTGGTGATACTTCCCGGGGTTGTTTGTCGGACGCATAACTGCTGAACCTAGTTCACAGGTTACATTGCTTTGATCAACGCCGGACATCTTTGGTGCCGTGGGAATTTTCACTAATCTTAATGACTGTACAATCAGGATTCCTCGGGATAGCTTGTAGCTAGCTTCACTTTCTTTATTCTTCTGATCTCAGTTGCCTTTACATCGTTTCTCTTCGCTGCCAACAAAACACTATTCTTGTTGTGTGTGGCACTGGTGTGTTGCGGTGATGAGATGTACAGCTGAGCATTAGGCATACGAACAAGATCGAATAATTTGCATTGTTTCACCCACCTGCTGTATATGCTTCCTCATCACTCATCGAGAAATGCCCTGTGCACCTGTTCTAAGATGTAAGTTGCGGAGGTGGGGCGACTGTTGATCTAGCGGCTTGAAATGTAGGAGGCGATCACCGTTCTGTCTTACTTTCCGTGCAGGAGCCAACCTCATCCACCCTCTACTTGAATACTGGATGGAAGTAGCAGGAAATAATTCGCAATATTTCATGTCGGTAAACTGTTTGTCCGAGAATTTCTTGAATTCGGAAGCCTACTTCTCCTCAAATACGTGCGGCGCCAGGTTGTTCCATATATTCACTACTCTCCTTTCGAAGCAGAGTTGGTGGGCGACCAGCTTCAAATCCGGTACTACAAGCTTGTATCGGTGTCCTCCTAGGCTGCTTGGTGTGCGCATATGGACCAACGGACTGAACATGGGGTAAGCACCGAGATGTACTCTCCGGTGCGTCATGACTTCAACCCGCACTTGACGATAAACAAAATATGAAGCCCTAGTCTCCTGCACCAGTCTTCGTAGAGTGGGGATAAGCCTAATGGCCACATGCTGTACGCGCTCAATCCTTTCTACCTCTCCCCAGGTGATAGGACAGTATGCGGGCGAGCCGTACTCTAGCATTGGTCCTATGATTGAGACGAAGAGGTGAGTGGCAATCTCTTCGCACTAAGTGGTGCGCTTGAGTGCCCAAAGCATACGAAGTCCATTTTGGTAAAGCCTATTCGTGTTATCCACGGATTTTAGGTCGCCGCGTGCAAGTACCCAGAGGTCTCTCACGAGAGGTGCGGGATGCAACGGTTGACCGGCCATAGTGTAGGCTCAGCCGTGTTTACTCTTACCCAGACTCATGAATTGCGACTTGACCGGGTCTATCGGGAAGTTGATCTATGCAGAACACATAGAGGGGTGTCTAAGGTTCCACTGTAGCATGCCATAGTTATCTGGTGCACCGATTACTCTCCACTCTTTCAAGTCGTCTGCAAACAATGCACAAGGCGTAGAAGCTGAGACACACTGTGTACATGGATCAGGAACGAAATCAGACCCATTACAGTGCCTTGCGGCACGCCACTGCTCGAGGGACATCAGTCGGTCAGATGGTTGTCGTCCTGGACCCTCCATTTTTGACCAACAAGGCAATTCTCGATCCATTGGTGCAGCGAGCCGTCAACACCACACACCCTCAGCCTGAGGAGGTGCACCTCATGATTCACCTTGTCAAAACCTTGCTGAAAACAATGTAAATGACCTCGACCAACATGCTTTGCTTCAGCGCTTGCAAAAATCCGTGCCTCACCAACTGGGTTGATGATGCATAAGCGACTCACGAAACCATGCTCTGTTTGGTCTGAAGAGGCTTTTCGACACGAGAAGCTGGAGAACACCGTCCTTCACAATCTTCTCAAATATTTTAGCCAAAACTGCAGACAGGCATATCATCCGGTTGTTGGCTACTTTGCTTGGGTCACCACCTTTCGGTATTGGCTTTACGACTAAGCATTTCCATTCGCTCGGTAATGAATCAGTGGGTAGTGACCTGTTGGACACCTCAGTCACCTAGGTGGATTCCATCAGCCCCGGCAGGTTTGGTCCCGTCGAGCACTAAATTTGATGCGTATGGGTAGTGATCGTAAGTGGTTGCGTGTATTCGCAAGGTCCATCGGCAAACGAAATATATGCAAAGGTTATAAGTTGAAACTTAAAACGTACTGTGATAATGAGCTGTTAGTGAAGCCTGCTCTAAGGGAATATAGACATTGGGGGAAGTGTAGTCCGGAACGTCAGCTGGTAGCGGTGGCATGCGTCCAGTTATTTGCGGGAGACGAAATTAATCACTTTCAAGCTTGATGTGTATGTTTCTCGGCCTACGGATCTTCTGCAGTAAATTCTCAGTATTAGGACACTGGCGTTTCTTGGTGTTAATTTGCTCGGAGTGTTCTTGTTAAGATGTGCAAATTTGAAATGACGATTTTTTCCGTGTTTCTTGATTCCTTGTCTCGGTCCTATTGCTCTAACAACATCTACTTGACTGACAGCTCTGGCTAACCTAGTTTTTCACTGCACCACACTGGCGTTAATTTTTAACCGTTACATGGTGACGGCGTTTCGCAATCCGGTCAAACAACAGTTATTACAAACTTCTCTGTGAATCGGTCAGTCCGTTCAGTACTCTTTGAATGGGGTGCTTATGGTAGCATATGAACTAGCGTATGATGCTGGTAGTACGCACCTGACCCTGTCCCATTTGCATCTGAATACACTAATGTAACGATCTGTATCATGCCTTGGGATTGCCTCACACCGGAATACCTTGTTCTCCCACAGTTTTTCTGTATCATGTGCTCTCAAACTTGACTGCAGTCGTCGTCAGTCCTCAATTCGGAACTTTCCGTATCGTTGCCATGCGCAACATATGTTCCCTCGAACAACGAATTACTTTGCAACATGCTCCTCCCTCACACTTGGCACGTGTCAGCCTGGCTTTCATGTCTAATGTTTCTTGTTTCCACCATATGGGCACAAGTGCAATGAATGATTCGTACGAGATCTGCCCTTGGTTTTCTGATTGTACCGTATTGATATCTTAAGTCTGCTGACTTTGCAACCTCGTGCCCCCATCGATCCTCGTCCATCCGGGGTTTCTTTTTTCTCTCCCTCTAACTCTGAACGTAGACATTTCCGTCTTGAAAGGTCTAACCCGTGCTTCCCGAAAGTACATCCAATACATCACTCAGTATGCTTTAGCGTTTTTATTGCACACTTCTATCCTCTCGCTTCTTGCAGTTTCCTGAGCGCTGAACTCGTTGGTCTGTCGTCATTGGCCTCATCAATTTCTGCCTCGCCGACGGTATCAACTCAGGTCGTTGCGCAGTTTGTCGCCTTTGTTAACGACCTCTTCAACTGTTTTGACCGCTTGGCTAAACGAGAGGGGTGTTATCGGGTTCGTCTGAACTCTTCAGAGTGTCTCTATATCGCAGGCTATCCGGAGACGCGCGTTGATCATGCCCGATCGTGTGTGGATTTCGGACTGAGCATGCTGGCCATTACGAAGTGAGTTAGCTCTACTCATTGGAATAATTCGCTTGATGCGTCAGCCTTACCAAACCTTCGCCTTAAGTTTGGGTGGCCATTCGTTCAGGTCCATAGACCATCCGACGGTTATGGACATTAGTCTTTTCATGGCAGTTAATCTGCAATACCATGTATTTATTTAGATTGTGCTGCCCAGTCACATTTTGAATCGCAATTCGCACTAAAATTAACTTCACTCCTTCTTATACCGTCTTTTTTCTATCACTCGCGCCATCTCGATGCCTAAGGGGTCCGTAACACTTCCGAACCCTTTGAAAACTTCTCCGATGTCTTCACTGCCTGGCATATTTTTTGGTTTCACTCTATGATTACGTGTTGTACACAAGTTGTCGCTGAATTATTCGCGCCGAAAACGACTGTGCCCCGCATCCACCAACTTTGGTTTCCTACTGTTTTCCATTTACATCTTGTTTAACCGGTTTTCGATGACTACTCCATTGTACTCCGGCACACTAAACAGCTGTCTTACTGGCCACAGCTGTTTTTTAACGATGCCGACACTAAAGCGGTTTTAGCTTATCCAAATACTGCATCCCAACGTACGTTATGTCTGCACAGCCTAAGTGTTCCAGTTTATCTACCTGTCTGCCTGTCTGCTCTCATTACCTCCGGGGTGCCTTCAGGTCACCCTTCCACTCTGGCGTTGAGCGACCACCGACAACGGATTACCAATCCACCCAGGTCGCCTTGCTTTTCACACCCTTAGAATGACTGGCTTTCTTTTTTTATAACTATTACATATGCGGTACGCTGACCTTGCAGCGCTGTTTTCCATCCTACCATGTCTGAATTCGGCCACTCACTCCATTGGCACTAATTGTTTGGTTCACGTGTACCTTATTATCGAAGTCTGTAACCGTCGGTCCTAACCAGTCATATCTTGGGTTTAGCGTTGACCCCACCTTGGGACAGTCACACTGCGTGTTCACTGCAATTCGCGGTATCCATTCCTAGTTGGTTTGCCTATGCGACTGACGATGCGCCCAAGTAAACAACATTCTTCTTCGCTTAATTAGAGTGCCAACCGTCGCTTGGAGGCCTAATTCCTTGGCTGCTCTCCCCAAGCGACCCTATGAATACTGGTGAATAATAAAGTGTGAATGCTTATATTTCTCCGTATTCTCGTATCGATGGCAGTAGCAGTAACCGGCAAGTATGTAAGGGTGAGCAAATTCTCCTGGAATCATGATTATTTGCCGCCCCGTGACCTTAATGATCACATGACTGCTTTGTACTCCAGAGGTCGCGGGTTCGAGTCGGTGTAAGGGACAGGGCGACCTTCTCACTATTCTTAGTCCACGCAACGAAGCGTACTGCTGATGTCTATGAGTGTTTGCTTCGATGGTCGTGCGCATGCACTGGCAGACAAAACACCGTCGACACAGTTGCTTTAAACCACTGTGAAAGCAGCGTCTTTTCGGCAACCCAAGGTCACCGCGGCGCAGTCAGCGTAGACTGAATGTGACTGGCACAGTATTCGTACCTTAGTCTGCACTTCTTCGGCGGTGGACATCACTTTAAAACCACTGCTCCGTTCGTTCAATCCTCCAAAAACTGATTTCATAGTCTGGGAACAAAAGTCCTGCAGCCTTGCAGCTTTTTTCATTCAGTGCAGTTGTTGCGGATGATGTTACACGCGTTCCATTGCAGACCGGTACAACCTGTCTGTCGGTATGCAACTTTTACCAACACCGCTAGGCCGCCTCAATCGCCCATTTATCTTCCGCATCTGCTTTCGTTTTGTGGCATTTCGCAACTAAGCGTGTCTGCTGTTCTGTTTTTGAGAACCTGATGGGAACCAAGACTTTTTTGTCCTCCTCTTCATCATTATCATGTAAACGCCTTTTGTTGAGCTCACGTCCTGCACTCATTGGCCAAAGTCGTGTGTTCATGGAATGCACACGTAGTGCGGTGGATCAGGAACTAGATGGTTCTGATGGATTATTTGTTGTCATTTAATGTGTTCTACTATAAATGCACGGTATGCCTCTATACCTCCTATCTACCCGGTGCTCTCAATTGATCTCTTCTGTTTGTCACGTTCGCGGTGTTTCTTTGTGACCTTGACCCTCGGTGACTTTTTGCTTTCATTCGCACTCACGCCTGTGCACGTTGCTTAATCTCTCGCTCTCTTCGGCCACTTTATACCCACCTCGAAATCCTTCTTAATGCGCTGACTCGTTTGATCTAGGCACTCCGATCTGGGTCACTTTGACTGTTTCTTTTTTACTGGTTGCTTACGAGCATCTGTGCAAAACTATGACGCATTCCAGTCCTCGAATCGGATAGTTTTGCACTGGCTATTTTTCATTCAACCGAGTATGACGGATGACTCCACCTCCATACCGATAAATATGCCCCGATTGTTTGCTCAATGACATTTGTTACCCCTAATTGTGTGTTGGTCCTTCTATTATGCGTCCGAGGATCCTCGATTCGTAGCACTCGATTTCACTCAAGATATCTGAGTTGTCTCATTGCATTTATCTCGTACCTCTTTCCTACTCCGATACCAGTTTGACTTCGACACCAATCGGCGCTAAAAATCGTCAGTAGTGTATCATCGTTTGTCCGTTTTTCAACTCTACCGAAACTGTTCCGTGATCTCCTCCCACTGCATTGTTCACTGCTTCAGTTGTTCGGCCTTCTTCACTTGGTAAACCGCGCACACTCATCACACATCTCACTGTCCACTTGTTTCCTACTCTTTGCTTTATTTATGTCATAGACCACACACACATGGTTAGAGACGGTATGCGGATGTAGTTCAATGTGACATGTACGGCTCTCACATATCGTGAACTACTTCCCTTGACCCATTTACCTTCCACCTCCTCGGATTCCCACTGTCTTATTTAATGCATTGTCACACCCTGGAATATTTGTCACATTCAGTGCATAAGTTACCTGGCTTGCTTTTTATTATCAAGCGTCTCTGTCGCCGATGAATTAGAGTGCGCTTTTACGTATACTGAGGGGAACCGCATCCAAATTGTCGGCTTTTAAACTTACAATCTCCGACTTCTCACTGGCTATACAACATGTTATATTTGAACACTGGCAATATTTCTCATACGATACAATGCGACTTGCCCCAAGTGGAATTACGAGGCTTGAAGAATTGACGTGAGGCTGTTATTGTCTAAGTCCTTCTACAGCCTGGACGGTTGACAATCTACGCGGGCCGTACAAGTCAATCAGGGAATTTTTCCTCTTCAGATTCCAGTCTTAAGGTGGAAGTAGTGTATACAGTATGGACTGTCAACTGTGTCCTGTTGCTCTGCTAGAAGACACCAATCTTGTTCGCTATTCACTATAAAGTTATTCAAAATGACAACACACAAAGTGGCCTTGCGCGTTGTGATAATATGTATAACGAGGAGGGGGGGCTAAAACCAGATAAAATTTGCGAAAGAATTGGGTTGTCGCAGTACATTGGTGTAGCACCAAGACATTTGAATAGTGCAAGCGCTTCGAACATGCTTTTACATCCACCATGAACGATCTTTGTCAGATGTTACTCTTGTGATCATTCACCACTGACAGTCGTCGAGTAACTTGTCTGCAGGTCGCGAACATGTTTACTCCTTCCCTTGGAACAGTAAACACAATAAGTTCAACATCAGTTGGTGTCGCTTTCTAGCGCTGCAGACGAGTTACAGTTTGCACTGGCTTGGAAGCCCGTTATGACATGGAACTTCAGCTTTTCATGGCTTGCATCTTCACATCCACCTCATAGTCCTGACTTAGTTGTGTGATTTTTACCTGTTTTGATCCCTAAAAATGTTCCACTTGTGTCGATCTTTCTTGGGTGTTGGTCATGGGATGCAGGTTATACTAACTTGGTTCAGACGTGCTGATGAACTTTTCTGTGTTAAGGCCCTTCATGCATTAGTAAAATGATGGGATAGGTGTATATCGGGCGAATATATTGAACAATAAATGCAGTTCCCACTTCCCGGAATTTGTGAAAAATATTTTATAGCCCCTTATTGACCTGTAGGCCCCTCGTAGGTTCAGTTACCTACACTGCTTGAATCGCTTCGCTGTAAGTCGTTCGACCCGGTAAATCCAAAGGAAACGAGACCACCCGATCAGCAAAGACTCTGCCAGTGGCAGGTAACGTCGACCTATCTGGATTTCATCTCACGTGCCTGTTTCTGTGATGGGTTCTCTACAGTGTTAGTTGCTTGTCGATTGCGGTACCCTCACCCATTCTCAGACTCTACCCGCCCTCCCCACCTGTCATCAACACGACTTTTATTCTGCTCCGAAGAGCTTGACTCTGAAAGCTACAAATGCACCCTGCTCAGATGTTTTATCAACTGTGCTTAATGGCACATGGGTTTTATTGCCTTCATTCTATTCTCATTCATACTCGTCTAGTCCGTTTTGCTTGTACATGTCACCACATATGTTTTATGTCTCAATCTCGCAGTGAGCTGTCGGAAATGTCAGGCGTCAAGTTGGAACTGCGAATAGCGGTCCACACTGGTACCGCATATGCCGCTGTCCTTGGTCGCACTCGTCTTGGATTCGAACTCACAGGAGACGACGTCCTGTATGTAAGCGCACTCAGACAAACTGCTGTGCGTCCCGGGTGAGTGAAACACGGTCTACTCATAGCGCTTCTTACTCCCTTTAAAATAGATTTTCCTTGTTAACTGTCTACTCTTCACTTTGTTTCCACGGCAGTCGCGTTTTGACTTCCCGCCTCACATTCAACCAACTCCCGGAGGGGTTCCGAGGCGAGGCTGGGCCTGTTCTGAATTACCCGTATCCGATCAATGCAGCAGCGCAAGCGCTCGAACCTTTCCCCCCTTCTTCATTCTCTTCTATGGATACTTACTTTGTCCAACCACGCCAAATACAGCCATCTTCTACTAGGATCGAGGTAAGACATCAACTGTTTCGCCGTTCACTCTCCGCCAACGACTGCGACGAGAAATGCTGTATACTTCATCCTTGTTTTCTAGTCTATGGTGATTTTCCCCTTAGTTCTCGGTCTCCGGATCAAATCCGTTTTGAGGCATTTGGTGTCCATATATATGGGTCGTAGTTGCTCTTCCCAATTGCCAACGGACGCCTACTTGATACCTGGATGATATTTTCATCCAACAAGTTAACTCCTTCGACACTCTCACTAGTGCCGCCATCCAGTCGTCCCATCCCTACGTAGGCCTATCTGCACTAGCCAAACTTCTCTGCAAATAAATATCCAACCGTTTTGCTAATTGTTCTCATTGTTACTGCATCTGCACTGCATTCGAATCGGGCAGATGAAGTCACATGTCCTGATTAGTTAGTTGGGCTTTTTTTTACCTTGGTATCCTCTTCTACCACAACACTTTTCATGTACTGCCTCAGGTTTGATGTATACAACCTTACCAAAAATAATCCCTTACCACCTACATCTTCCTCTTGTGCCTTCTGCATTGAATCACTGTTCACGCAACCACCTGAATTTCGATGGGCGATACCCCGTCCCGCCCATTTGCCACAGTCCGGTGAATGGACAAATTCCTAGGTTTTCAACCCACCGAATTGTGTAATTTATTGTCACGATCGATAACTTTACCACCAGCCGGTATTTACCACAGGTGTTGTGGGCGCACGTATCCCCACATGCGCCCGTCAATTCTAAGAAAGTGGTTTTTGACTTAAATGTTTATTCTTCAACCACTTCATTAACTGCAGAAGAGCACTTGTTTTGTGATTGAAAACTAGTTGTAGTGCACTACCTTTCATACGGTCGAGCGGCTTTGTTTCGATTCAAACCAGTGTGGCTCCGCCATTGATCACTAACGCTCGTACAAGCAATAATATGTTTTGTTGAACCCAGATTATGTGACCTCGTAGGGCATTTCCAATTGACAAGTGGACATTTCGTTATACAAGTGAAAGCTGTCACTGTGTGCCTTCAAATTGAATGCACGTTAAGCGATTTGAATCGATGACATCCTGTGAATACTTTCCTTTCTGCCTTAGCTGCACATTTACAGGCATAGTCCTCCTACCAATGGGTTCTCTATTTTCTCCGTGCATTCGGTGAACCGTCCAGCTGGTGTTTAAATCGCTGGTTCCATTAGTGAATTCTGATCAGAGCACCAACGAACTCATCACATCATCAAGTATTTTTTCAAACCAAAGAGGGTAGTTACATAGGCGTGGACTACGGAAACCGATACAAAATGATAGGATTCATAGACACATCACGATTAGGGTTTTTTCGTGGCTTCTTAAGAGAAAATACTATCGATCACTTTCGAAAGCCGCAGCGTTGACCTACGTCGATGAGGTAGGCTTAAGTTCCGTCCCTCTGTACTCCCCCTCCATGATACATAACTTTGTCGTTTTTGATCACTTCTGGTCCGTAGATTTCAGCATTTCCGGACCCAGTATCTGGAATGCATCCCATCAAGCATTACTGCATATATTCTCCATTCGCCAAGCTGTCTTCCGTCCTTCTTCGGTTGACATCGTTTATCCATTGTGGACATTTATTGTGTTCTACTGTCAACTCTCGAGTGCCCTTCATTCCGGACGCTTATGTTGGTTTATTCCGTCTATTGTGTGGGTCCATCTTATCGTGTTATCCTCTAATCCTTCCTGTGTTTGTCCCCACACCTCTGTGTCGCATCACCCAAATTTCTCTGTCCTCCTCCTATTGAGTGCCCGACGTCAGCGGCGACCGACGCCTGAATCATCCGATTGTTGTTCGCCCAGTCCAGCACCCGCGATCCCACAACCCACAATGTACCTCGGACAACCATTTATCCACGTGCGATGTCTTCTTGAGTAATCAGTCACGAAATCACGATGCATTTGGACACTCGTGTTAAGCACCTCTATCATTCGCACTCTCCTACTTTGTTCGCGACTGTCGCCGTGCCTGTTCTCTACGAATTGTTGGACTGATGCCTTTAATCTGTCAAATGCTGCGTACAGTGGCCATTGCAATCAATCATAACACGAATTCCTACTCGGGCTCATCACGAGCTTTTTCGGAGTATCAGCATACACGTGCACTCCACCTGCACAGTGTACTCACACTTTCTTACGGTCGGAGGTTATCCTCCATACTCTTCTGTCTGTCTGTATAGACCAGTGGTTCATAGCGTTGCGCTCCATTGTGTTACCTCTGCGTTACGAGTTTACCATGCCCTATTTCTTACAGGATTGTGAACTGCCTTGCTCTGCATTGCCATTCATAGAGACATTCCTGTCCACATTGGTCCACCCGCGTAATCCGGCTTGGTCGATTTAACCACTGTCGGATTTATCTGGTGTAGTGAGCAACCGCTGGTTCTGTCAACTCTATGGTTTCCGCGGTCAGATATCTCCTTGCAATTTTCCCCATCCTACGCTTGTCATGCAGGTACTCAGCCCACTGATCTACGTGTCACAGCATCCCTGTATGGGAAGGAAATCGAGGATGAGCCATGCCGAAGGATCGGAATCACCTATGGCGCCCAACACACTCACTGAGCTGTGTGTATGCTTTTTTGACTCTTATGCCTAGTCACTTGACTTTTGGAATTGGGGATTAAAAGACAACAAAGAAACTTAAAAAATAGCCTGTAACTACAAAATGCTTTTTTCCATCTCACACCATCTAAGAATATTTTCCCCCTTGCTTTCCACCATCTTGGTGGATATGTATCTACGCACCGATCACAAGAATCAGTGCATATACTTAACCACCCCATCGTTTGGCAACAAACACCGATAACTAACACCACCACCTTACAACATTCACCCGATCGTCTTGTATTTTGCTTACATTTGGCCATTTCATCCACCCTACTCTTTACCGGCCTTGTAAATGTCGTTCCATTTTATCCGCCCACCTCATCGTTCCAATATAGATTACGCTGGTCACTAATTCCATGTCCTTTCATCCGCGTGCACTTACGCTTCTCGCCAATGACTCACCCATTGCAAATAATAGTTGTCATGACAACTAACCATGGGTACTTGAACACAGTGGCTGGGTAGCGGAAGTCCACCTTGGGTTGATCCACCCATCACCGTGACATTAAATCACTCGCGTTTTGTCCGCCGAATCGATTAACTGGCTCATTTTGCAACTCCTACTCGGAGCCAGTGAGCTGTCCGAGTGCTCGCGCTCATTCTTCCGTCGCTCCAGTTTCTTTCCCTACCCTTCCGAGCTCGCTGCTCGTTGTAGTTGGGATTCGATGAGTGTCGAAGTACCACACTTTCAACTTTTATTCAGTCGTAATTCGTTTTTTTTCGCATTTCCTCAAAATCTACACTTTCCTCATCACCACGTTTTCCATGTTTGTTACTTTTGCCTTTGTTGTTATATGATTTTCTGGAGCTATTCGTGTTCATCAGCCTAGACCGAGTGTAATCCGTACCTGAGCGGTTCTGCCGTCTCATACCTCCGAGATCATGTCCACAACAACTCAGGTTTCCTTTTACACCATTTTGATCGCTTTAATTCCAACCACCCGCTCTTTCGTTGCCCCTTATTTCATTGCTCTATGCATCGCCTCATGTTTACCTCAATTCCTTCGACTCTTACCATCATCCAAAAATGTTCTAACTGAGTGACTCTCCTAACTCATTCACTGTTAGGCAATCACAACTTGAGGTGCTTCGTCCACTTACCCACAGCTGTTTAAATGTGAAATGTTCGTCCCTCGCCTGAATTGACGGTTGATTCTCAATCGAAACTCGAGGTCGCTACCCCCCCCCCCACAGTAGAGAGAGAGAAGACCCGATCGAACGAGCAGAGGAACAGGGATGTATTAGCCAACGACCCCGTTCATTATAAAGGTAAAATCGAAAGTCCATGAATGATATTTAAAGCTCACGTGGAAAACTGGAAGGGTCAACTTACGGCCAATCAAGGAATGCCACCCTAGTGTAAATTGGCCGCTTCACCCGGTTGGCTATCTGCTCGCCCCAATCAATGCGGATGAGTTTGGATCGCCTGCCACGTCTTGGCTCCGTAACGGCGGTCGGATCCTCGGATGTTCGCTTAGCGTATTCCTTCTTAACAACATGGCGGTTGTTCGGAGCACAGCTTGTCCATTTGCACAATTACGCTCACTTTTCAGATCACATTGCACTATACTCGTTGCATATGAATAGAAACCGCGTACAAGTTTCCGTTTATAAACCTTTACTTCCAAAGTTTTCCTCCGGTCTTTGGTGGCCTTCGTTATTCCACCCCGATCATTCCGATTCACTTTGGTTCATCCCACCTCACTGATTTACCGTTCACTAGTTGCACGAACCCCTCAAATATGACTAAACGAGCGGCCGACTTTGCCACTTTCCACTTTGTCGGTCTTGGCCATGCTGCCAGCCAATTTACAAGTTGTGTGCTGGTCTTCCGCTGCTCAGATCCTCCAGCGTTTCTCTATTTTTTCAATATCATAATGTTTATACATTTAACTGACTGCAATCAAAACGATGGTATCCGCTCAACACTTCGGCGCTCTAACTGTAGACATTAAAGTTGTAAGACTCCTTTAAGTTGTTCGCTTCTTTATTAGAAGGAATTTAGCCGTATCGTGTCGGTTACGCTGACCGAAGCTCTGTTCTCAAGACACATCAAACACCATTTCTGTCCAGCTTTCCATGTTGTACTATGAGTGTAGTTTGTGTTACGATCCATTCTGTCATGTTTGCAGATTTGTCAGTACAGCCAACAACCATGGGCGCAATGGCTTCAGCAGTCTGGATGCGCTCTATGATTTCTTGATGATGGTCCTCATGCGTCACCATGGTTATCCTTCTACTTGTTGTGCGGATCCCATCACTTCCATTGTGCGCATGTTTGGTACTCGAATTATGGCCTGTCACAATTTGCCTCCTATCTCTCTGTCTCGTTTTCTTTTTGGTTCATTGACACGTTGCTGCCCACTGTGTCCTCGTGAACTTTTTAATATTCCAGTCGGGATAGACGAGTGTTCGCTGTTGACCTTGGTCACCTGGTGGAGTGGGCGTCTTCCCGTAATCAACGCCTGAAGAAACCACAGAAGAACTGCACCGACTGCGTAGTACACTGTGTAGGGCGATGAAGGCTGTCTTTAGCCCCAGATTTGTTTAACACGACCTGTATGTTTAAGCCTAATGAATGAGCGAACGGACCATTTTCAACAGTATTGCTTCCTTATACTTCGATATCATGCGAATCTAATGGCCATACCAGTGAGGACAAGAGGACCTGATGTGGAGGCTAGGTGCGCCAAACGGACATTCGACATCGATTCTTCCACATCAGATACGTGACACACAGTCACAATCGGTTGTCGTGTGAGGATAAGGTGACTTCAGTGAGACTTCTTCCTTGCGCGGTCTTCACCACCCCACTTCTAAAACAACCATACCCTAGGCAACACACAAACTTTAAAGAGCAGTTTAAATGCGTTGCTGTGACAAACGCACCACTGTTATCGAGCTAAGCACAGAGAGTGCGTCGATTTGACTCGAACTCGAACAAATGTGAACCGAGAGAGCAACATCCAATATAATCGTCAGTACCTTCATTTTCACTTGTCGCTTTAACCATTTTCCTCCTCATATCCCACACCATCCGAGATCCGACAAACAAAGCAACATATTTCTCGGTAAGCGGTGGATGGGCACACTGAATGCGTTCTTTAACTAGCAGGACGTATTCAGTCTTGTTTACTGTTTTAACAAGCCAGCCAACCTCATCATCACCACCACTTACCTGCACACCTCCTTACTACGGCCATGCTGATGACACCCGCACGCTTAATGCTTCGTAGGGAACGATGATCGAAGAATTGCCGGCATTTGTGATCTTCGATTTGGGTGGAACAAGTTTCTCTCGCTTGGAGTGTATCGGCATCAGTGTGGTACTTGTACGGGTACAATCATCCAACTAGCAACTGGCCAGAGAACTTACCACTTAACCAGTCGTACTGGGACACATCGCTTCAAAATGCGCTCAACTTTGATGGTATTCGTCAAGCCACTCGGTTTCCACCTCGTTGAAACTGCAGACCATTTCCTCTCTCTCTGTCACCAGTCCTGAACCAAAAATAACGCGACAGTGAGGGTAATTATCAAATCAAGCTTATTCCCTTTGCGCATCTATACGCTTTTCCATCTCGCTAACTCGATTAGTTACGCTTTTCAGTCTCCGACTGGTCACCGGTTTAACAACACACCACAGTCACTGATAGTGTTGCAGCACGCATTTTCGAGCACCCAGGTAGCATACACTGCATTTTGTCATTGTGCGTCACTTGCACCAATAAATGCAGCTTATCGTAGACGGGTATCCTACTGCTTGCATGTTTCGATTTCATATGCAATCCCTCTCGGAGCCTACGCCTGGCTTTCCACTATAGTGCGTTCACACAACCCACCTTCTATCGTTTCTTGTTTACAATCCGTTCGGGTTATAAAATGTGGCCCCTGATAATCCGTTTTGTGGCTGACTGACTGCGCCGCCTTCCCTTATCCCGTGGGCACAGATGCACCGCTGACGCGTCATCACGGTAACCACGTTTGCCTTGTGGGCATGCCCGGAATGGGAGGGGATGAACCGCCTCCTTGACCTTGTCCCCGAACCGCTGTCTGGCATTGTATGTTCACAAGGTTGCACGGTCGATGAACACTCCGTGTACGTGGGAACTTTTGCCGCACGTGTGCCCTCAGTGGTTAGTATGCACCCACTGAGCATCCACGTTGTCCGCTCTGCTGTGAATCACCCGCTCGATTCACTTTGTTGGAAAACGTTTCCCATATGGAGTGGCTTAATCGGCGAGGAGGTGCTTGTACTTAGCCTTCCATACCTATGTAGATCAGTGGCTATTGGTTGATCAGAAAAAGCGATAATTACATCATGTGCTTTCATTGCTTCAGTTTTCCAACTTTGCCCTCTACGCACAGAACTGCGTTATCGAACTTTTGTAACCACCCTCTCCTTTCTTGCTCTTACTTTTTACCTTTCCATCTCTTCTTATTCTGTTAGCGATGCAAGTTAAGACAAGCGGATCCACCTGGACCGTGATTGTTAGCCAGAACAAATTTGTTTCGCAGCCAGTTTTATATCCCAGTTTTTGATGCATTCTCGAGCCGGCTTCCGCCTCATCATCGTTGGGGTCATGAGGCACGACAGCACAACTCACCACCAACTTTATCAGTGTACTGTAAATGTAGGCCATTTCCGCTTCCCGCTTTGGTTACCATTTAATTCGCACCGGTCAGTTTATCTTGTCCACGCGGATCACCAATCGATCGTGTTGGATCGATCAGTTCAGTCTGTGATTGTCTCACGGCAATCCTAACCTGCACTGTTTACGAATCATGTCCTGTTGTTTGTCTGTGATCTGTTTACGTTTTCTGCTTTTGTTTATCCAACTTGTCTTTGAATCATATAACAGAGATCGTTACGAGTAATGTTGCCGCTTTTAGTTACCGATGCTCTCTACTCAATAGACATTCATGAACACTTCTTCCCCCCCCCCCCCCAACTGACTGCATTATGCACTTGTTTCCTCTTCTCTCATCAGATTGATATGTCTGAACTCGGTGACACCAATCCGCATCGTGACTGGCCTAAACTAAGTGAGCTATGCACGGACAACTTGCATCTGGTTAGTCGCATCGCAGCTACCGCCAGTATTGTCTGTCGTCGCACGATTGATGGTCAGCCATGTGCGGTGCAGTCACTGGCCGCTGCCGAGGTTCCGTTTGATTACCTCGACACAGCCACATCCGATCGGGGAGAGGCCTTCGATAAATTGGCTGATGTACGTCTTGATTTGCTGCATTCGTTATCCGGTAATCGGTTCAACGAAGCTGGGAGTACCGCCTCAATTCGGACTGCACGGGATCCTGATGCACATCTTCGTCCCCCCGATCCAACTGTCCCAGAGCCGTTGATCAAGACCCAGTCATTCGGACACGAATTGGACATGGCCGCCGTCGTTACTGACAAGTGCGTCGATAGCAAACTGGTTCCTTTTCTGCGACGGGCTGGCAAACTTCGTGGGAAGAAGTAAGTTGGTTCAAACCGTAATATCGCAGTCCCCTACACCATTCCATCGTGCTACTTCAGCAGTTGTGTGCAGCTTCTACCTTGGTTTAATCGTAAAAAACGCGATGAAATCCTCTTCCGCATACGACACTTAATTCCAGGGTACACGGCCGCTCAACCACAAATCTTGTCATCCGCAAACTCATTCGCTCCAGTCTTCATATATCTCACGGAACTAGGGCATTTACGAATTAAGCTTTCCAACTGTTGCTACGACTGTGGCTAATAATTCAACTAACGCTTCGATGGGAGATCACGCGGGTGACACCGTTGAAGGTGCAACCCAACTGCGCTTCATTTAATGTCATCTACATTATTGAGGACGAATCGGAGCTACTTTGAGTTAGGGAGAAACAGTGCGTAAAGAATTGCTTCGTGGTCCAAATGACTTGAAATCCTCATGTATTACCGAGCGCTTCGAAACTGTTCAACTTATGAAGCAGCGCCGTCGCCGCTCTATCGTATCAGCCCATGCTACCTTAACCATCTGGTGAGTTTCCGGCTAACAAATCTGATGGCCGTGACGCAGTTGTTTAAACAATCCATTGCTGTTTAATCCATTTGCCATTTTTTGCGCTCGTTTCTCCGGTTATGACGTTGTCAACTTCATATCCGTATTTTACAGTGGCTTATTCTCAGTCGCCTTTCGCATTCATCACTTCTCGTCGCAGACCGTTCTTTCGGCTCCCGACGTTGCTGCATCATAAATAGCAAGTGTGATGCTCTAAAACCAATCCGATCTCTTCCTCCTGCTGCTAACTGCAAATTACTGTTTCACAGCACCCTTGCAACCGATTCATTTTGGTTTCGGGGAATGTGGGATAAGCATTATCTTATCACAGGACAGAGCACGTGCACTCAGTCAATTGGCTTAGTTGTTTCTGTTGATCTTCCATCTGGTTGTTTCAGTCGTCTGCACATTCAAGCGAATCATTGACGGTTTTTGTCTTCTCTCTGATGTTGATCCGATGTCTTTATCTCTTATCATGTTGTTACCATCCATCCTATACTGATACTGCTCCGTTCTGCCTGTCGGCGATCGAGTGATTCAGACAACTGGTTATAACCAGCATTGGCGCAGTACCCTTTGTCTCCACGTGACTGCTTGTGGTCGCGTCAGTGCGCAAGACTGGCTTACTACTGATAACTCTTTCTCCTTCAGACTCACACGTCCCACTGGTTATAATGCAATTAACTTGTAAAAATGTCTACAGTGCACCAACACCTTTTACTTACGCCTCATTCCTTTACAAACTGATATATTACAGGGGCACTTAAACAAAGTAAGTGCAGGGTCTGGAGCCCGGGTTGTAGGCGTTCCAAGGCACAAATCTAAACCACGGGCTCACAGTTCCATTGCAATGTGTCACTAAATCTCACTCGTTTCCACCCCGCACCTTACTGAATTTTCGAACGGTGTCATACCTCCCTAATAAGTCCGCTACTTTGCGACTATGTTGACGGGTTTCTGGTGGGCAGAAACATCTCCATCCTTGTAACCGCACTACAGCTGATATCCGAAGGCTGGTCAGTTTAACGAATTCCAATGCTCATTCGTTTTCGACTCGATCCAGCTGCGGAAGCTCAGTAGATTGAGAAAAACACGTGGTGACTCTTGTGTTCACCCGGCCCAGTTGTTACACTACCACTCGCTGGGGTCAATTCCGGTGATGGCTTTTAGCCCCTCCCCAAACCTTTGACATTGATGTGACGGCCATATCTGACTTAGTACGCAAGTAGACTAACTCGGTGCTTGTTGACAAGAGCATTGTCTACCCAATCTTGGATAACGGAAGGCCCATGAAGTGAGGACGGCAGCGGAGAGTGGAGCCAGTGGCTGCTAACTTGAGTGCTTTTGGTCTATCTTGTCCCACAAGCTGCATCATCACGCTATCCACTTTGTGCTTGGTTATAGGCCTTAGACTTGCAGCCAATGCCATTGGCGCGACAAATCTTTTCCCATAATAGGCCTGTCTGTTAAGAGTTGTGTGCTTCTGAGCTATGTGCGCGGGATAGAATCCCTTGAAGCGAGGAAGCGTACTTTTCACGGTTACGGTTTCAACGACGCAGCTGGGTTGTTGGAACGATGTTTGTACCTATATATACAAATATATATATATATATATATATATCCCCAGTAAATACCGATTGCAGTGTGAGTAGTCAGTGCAACCTCTTCAGTTTCGACCTTTTTGCAAGTCTATTTTTGGTGAACTCCCGGTTCCGTCGTACCATTGTTTTTTTTTAGTCACTCGATTTTCAACGTTGCACTTTCTGCCAACTAAACTGAAAGTGGTCGAAAAGCTACAGCTGAAAGATGCCATTACCCCGGATGAATTTTTTCAATGAATGGTTGTTCAGGAATGAACATGTGTTACTATTTCAGAACGCGTGTAGTAAGGCAACGCTTGTACGGTGCACATGGCTAAAATGAAAAAAAGAGTTCCAGTAGGTAGACATATTTGCCACGTTTCTTTTACCCATTAGGCTACACACCTTCCTTCGATCTGTCCTTCCACTGCAGTCAAATCGGCACTCCACCTCTTCTTTTTAGAGTTTGGTATCCAGTGCTCATCGTATCTACCTGTTGTCTGCCATTACCGCAGCACCGAGCACTCACTGAGTATGAGATATCTAGCCCATCGATAAGACGGTGGGTGTACTGCGAGTTTTCGGAAAACCCCGTTCATTGCTACTGGCTTGTGTGACTGTCATGATGGACTCTAGGCTTGGGTTTTAGCTTTGTTTGTTTTCCCTTACCTATGTATATAATGGGAGCCGTCAACGGAATGGGCAGGACTCCGATCGATTGTGTTACACGGCCTCAAACCAAAAGGTTCCATGTTATGAAATATACCGCCGTATGTGATCAGGTGCTCGCATCTTCACAACTCCATCAATACGACTACTTGTCGGATTACGTGGTAGCCTATTAGCGCACTTGAACAGTGGAGAGCTGTGCGGACCACCAATCACACTACACTGCCTCAGCATCCTTAATGCTGTCACAATTCTTCAAGTTTTTTCATCAACCAACGTCTGACCACCCTGGTCATATGAGACGGTTCACCTCTGGGTGGAGGGCGTTAAATAGTGTCACGGCACATCAAAATGTGGGTTTCAGTGGGTTCTTCAATATCTAGGATTTTCGAACCTCAGATGATCCTGATGACTTCAGCGCCAGCGATCTCTCCATATTATTGGTTAGAATTACGATAGCTCCTAGTACTGTGACAACGGTTTGCCTTGTGGACCGTTACGAATTTCGTGCTACCTCGCAGACTGACTGTCGAGTCATCGGCTTTATTTTGGTACCGTAGCTTTTCTCCTGCCCAGGTTTGAGTGGCAAAGCCGTTTTTGCTAGCAAAAATGAGTATTGAGCAACGATGTATCACTGTTGTCGTTGATTTTGACAACCACATATCTGCTGAGCGGCTTTGTTTTCGTACGTTCACGCGGACCCCGGACCTCGTGCTATATTCACAACTCCCTGTTTCATAAATTATGGACTACAGATTCACCCACTATGCGCTGCAGCGCGCACATGTGCATTCACACGCCGCTCTATATCTACTTTCCTTAACCGCTCGTCATCTTTTGCTTTGTGCGACCAGAATCGTCCGACAGATGCAGTCGCACCTAGTCGATGATCGTCCTCAATCCATTACTCTTTCCCTAAACCCCATGAGACGGTTATAAAGAGCATTTGGTGAACTCTAGTCGTCTATCTGACCGATTTTGACCCCTTTTGCTTGTGGTCCAGCTCACATCATTGCACCTTAGCCGTTCTCAGTGCAGATGATATTTTCCAATTGAACCGAACATCTGAGTGGGGCTAAGGCACTGTCAGTCCTTACGACCGAAAGCTTCTCACACCGGCTTGTTTATGGATTTGTGCAACATCGCACTAGTCCCAAATGCTTCGCCACCATGCTAGTTGCCGGGTCAAATCCCAAAGCCGGCAACTCAGTACACTGCACTGTGTGGGATTGAAGATGCAAGTCTAAGTGAGAATGTTCCACACGTGAACACCTGTAAATAAATAAGTTAAAGGACTGCATGATAGTAGTTCACATGCGAATTCTTCACGCCGAGAGCGGTCTCTTGCTGAGATCAGACCATATAGTCATTGATCAAATCACGTAGTTGGACTGCACCTCGAATCGCCGAGGAATATACCATTTATTTATTTATATTGTTGGCCCTGTTTGTTCGTGAGAGAAATAAGAAGTTATACACATTATATGATGTGTGGGTACGCTGTCGCCACTCATACTGTGCTGCTTCCCATCCGAATCCCCCAACTCCACTACAGCATTTCCCTCTGTGGGGTTGACACCTTTGAAATCAGAATAATGTCACAAGCTGCACGCGATCCAAGCTTTCTGTAAGGTTCTAGGCTGATTACTATAGATACACTGGTTTTTGCCGTAGTTTTGATAGACCGTCCCTCTGTGCCATGATTACTTTTGCCTCCGGCATAAACTTGGGCTAATCGAATCTTTGGTGTAGCAGTCTAAGATGTCGAATTCCGGCTGACATGCTCCTGATAAATATAAGGCCGTTCGACGCATACATTTCCGTTATCTCGCTGTTTATCTACCTAATAAGATTGACCCCGGTTGAATCATGGCTGACCAACCTATCCAACAACCTCTTCTTCTTTAACCCACTGATTTGGACGACCGAGATCTTGGGAACTGTTTGCAGCATTGATTCTCATGTCTCAAACCACAGTCTCCGTTAGACTCTTTACGCTATGCGCCGCTCGTCAGCCCAACAGAGATAGCCTGATTAATCCGGCCCCATCATCTCGCCTGTCACTTGGAAAGCTAGCTGCGTAGCATACTTCGGCATACTTCGCTTTGCCTTACCACTTTTTAACAGCGTGCTCCCATATCAGACGTTTCACTGAATAACGAGGTAATATCGCTAATCCTGTTTAACTCCGGTCTGCGCGGGATCAACACCACGGCAGACCGCCTTAACAGACTTCTATTTGAATTCACAACTTCAGTCCATCTACCTGAGTGATGGAGACCTCACGGCGTTTGGCACACCATGATTTAAGCACAGAAGTGCGATTATCCCACTTTCCTACTCCCACCTTGTTATGGCAGTCTTGAATATGGAAATACACTGAAAAGCCAGTAACTCCGCTGCTAATGGATATCGGATTGGTCAGATAAAAGGGTTAGAAGAGTGGTGAAACGGAGATTTGTATCGAAGCTTAGAAGCCGTAAACTGACTGCGACTTCGCAACTGACTTCCCAGCCAGGCACTGCATGTGCTTACCCCTAATGTATATTGTACCATTGTGCCTACAGCAATTATGCTATCACCCAACCTCTGCAAGCCGCTTGCACGTCATGCCATAGAGCGTACTGTTTATTCGGGTTTTACCTCCCTGTTTACACCTACTTTGACTTTAAATCATTCGCAATACCGCGAAATGCTGGTTGGTTGCTTAGTTGTTGAGTAGTGCGCCACGCTGGGCAGTTTGGGTGAAAACGTTTCGTCCCCAATCGAGGTGACATCATCGGTGCAACTGGCGATGTTGACAATGTCACATCGTCTCGTGACGGAATGTCTGCAACCAATGTATCCATCTGAACGGACCACTCAGCAATTGAACAACTATTCCAGTAAAACGTACGTTATCTCATGTTTTGAGGGCATGGGGATGATAACCGAAGATTGTTCGTGGACCGAATACTCGCAAATGTTGAGTAGCTCCAACGTATCCGTTACATTCTGTTCGCTCGACTGGCTACAAGCGAATGTTGTACCAGCACCTAAACTGCTTCAGATTGAGTAATATCAATCTGCCTTTCCGACTCTAGAATTAGTCTCTCTCCTTGAAAACACTATTTGTTGGAATATTCCTGTTTCACCTAACAGTCTTCTGTCAACGTCCAGAACGTCTTCTTATGTTTCAGAATAGGTGCAGCAGTTCGCACCCACTTTGTGGCACCATGGTTTCCAGGTTATCTATTAAAATAAGGCCATTGTTGAACTCAACACAATTTTATGTGATTTTCGCAGTAACCCGGTAGACCGTATTTGCACTGCCTGAGAAGGAATGGGCGAACTGGAATTCGTGGCACAGTAATCGCCCTAGCAGCTTACATGCTACCTCGATTGGTTGCAGCTTGCAAAGGAAGTCGTTGCTCTGGGGGCCAGCTCTGTCCTCTGCACGTTCATAACATGCAGCTGCATCAGCAATGATGGGCGCATAGAAACTGATGTGAGCTCACGCATTGCAAAGGCCAGAGCTGCCTTCTAGAACCTGCGTCATCTTTGGCGACAGAAGGGAATTTCCCTCCGTCTGAAAGGCCGTGTATAGAAGGTCGCAGTGAGGGCCGTTCTGCTCTATGGTAGTGAAACTTGGCCCCTTCGGTCTGAAAATCTGAGGCGACTTCAAGTCTTTGATCATCGTTGTCTGCGAAGCATTGCTGGAGTCAGATGGCACCAGCGTGTCCGCAACGATGATGTGCGTAGGCGAGTACTAGGTGGTGATAATCATACTAGCTCCCTAGAACAACAGATAGCACTGAATAAGTTGCGTTGGCTCGGGCACGTGCTACGTATGCCTGGTCACCGCTTACCTAGGAGGGCCTTGTTCAGTCTACCAGGTGTAGGATGGCGCACAGCTCGAGGTGGACAGAAGTTGACTTGGCAGTAGGAAATGAAGTCAGTGACGACAAAACTGGGTGCCGTTGGTCCGTCTCGCCTTCCGGGTTGGAGTCCACCTGACTCACCTTGTGCTTGGCTCGAGACTTTACAGGACATGGCTCGCAGTAAACACCAGTGGCGCGTCTGCTGCCGTCTCCTAATCGGATTGTCTGTTTAAGCTGTGTTTGGTGCTGAGTTATCTGCGGGGTAATGGCTGATTATGACACGGGGCAGTGAAAGCCGCAAGGAAGCTGTCTCGCCGATGCCGTCTTATCTTTGCACGATAGTCAGCTGTTTGTGACGGAATGTTGTCTACACAAGGTGTAGGCGCCTTGACCCTGAATGTTTGCTTAGGGCATTAAGGTTTTCAGGTAAGTCCCCCTTCTCTCCCTCTTCTTATTCTTTATTTCATAAATCATCATGGTTGTATGGCAGCGAAGCATCAGTTCAAATGGCTGATGTACTGCTGTTGATGATGATGATGATCATCATCATCATCATAACCTGCATGACAGTAAAGGATAAGCCGCGCTATATCACAGTCAGCCATTAGTCATAGTGATCCGCTGCCGTCGCCCATGACTCAGTGACATAAGTAATAGTAAGGTCGTATGTTTCGAATCCGGTCGGATTCGGCAGCTGCGTGCTCCTGACTTGTCCCCATAATACGAAACAGCCGTCTAGCGCTTTCCTGGAAGTGTAGTGACTGTCTGCCTGAGTCTTCACAAAAACCACACCAGTTTTTTGCGCCAATGCTAGCCGTAACCAGTTTCGGGGGTGTTCAACCATCCTTAGGGACAGTCTGCGATCGGTCCTCTCATATAGAGAGGACACACACAACTGTAGGTGAACTGGTAGACTACTTGTGAGGCTGCACTGTCTGACAGGCCTTTCGGATGGTCGCCTGTTGTAAATTAGTCGCAACTGGGCGGTGGTGTAGGTACGCTAAAGCACAGACCTGATCTCATGTCTGATGTCTCTGGCCAAATGATTTCCTTTAAACGGTAGAAACAAGTAAACATCCTTCTTCTCTGCAGTCTGAACCGTTGCTTTTTCCTTGTGCAGTCGACTATGAACCTATCCTGGTACCCACTCAATATTAGAGTCTTATGTAAAAATTTCTTCGGCATTAAGCGACTCTATGGTGCAAATTCGTCTGGTTCTGTGGAGGAGGCTTTTGATTAGACCGCGTTTGTGCGCAACTGGAGTGAAGCTAAAGAAATGCACGTATTGCTCACTCCAGGTCATTTTTCCGGAACCTAAAACAGATTGCTTATCACCGAGGTTTTACCTATCCCGAAGTATCGCCCGGTGTTGTGTGCACAGAAGCAACTAAAGCCATCTGTTAGATTGCCTATCTTTCGAGGGATCATTTTGTTTCAATTTGGGTTCCACAAACCAAGACTTCTCGGATAAAATCATGTTCTGTTCAAATAAGAGAAATTGAAAAATTGATAGGCATCAACAATAAGCCGGTACGCAGTACCGACGCTTCGCGGCAGCGCAACCATCACCAGTCGAAAATAGGCTAAGGATAGTGCGCAGGTCGCCCGGTTTCTACCCAGGCACGAATCCGCATCTTCGGATTACTAAGCAGGCTTGTGATCCTTTAGGCTACGGACCGGGAAATAACACAATTAGGCAACACATCTTTTATCACCAGGGGAAACTAAGTAAGTGCGGTCAGACCGCCGTGGATGCTAACCTTTTCTGTTGCATTGTAAGAGAGAAGCCTTTACGTCATTACGCCACACTGAGCTTTTTTAGCCATATGTTAAAACCAGTGAAGCTGCAGGCAATGACATCAAGATGGTTGGGATTTCGGACAGCTGTGCAATCTGATTGGTGCACATACCGCCCAAATCGCGTTTACCACCTTTGTTGTTGCTATTTCTTCTTCACACTGAAACGTTTCTCCTGTGTGGATGATTTTTATTAACTCTGGCTTATCCCAACAGCGTAACATTACAACGACTGGAGGGCACATATCAGGCTTTTCCAGCCAATTGGATCTGCTATCAAGTCTTTCAGTACGGTGATGATTTCTTCACCTTTCTTAATCGTCAAACAACGAAGTGTTGCTGGTTCTGATGACTGCCTCTTGTTCATTTGTTCGGTGTAGAACGAATTCTCGTAGACTGTGCCCCGCTTTTGTTTTTGCTTCTTTACCATTTCTCCATTTCTGCTAGAGGGCTTGGGAGAGCACATATGTCCCAAGTAACACGGCTCTTGCAGGTAACCATTCCAATCACTTGCGTATGCATGTAAATCTGTTAGTCTTTCCGTTTATTATTTTTATCCCTCATCTGTCTCGTTTGCGCGCCTCCACTATGTAATGTCGTAGGCTGTATGGCTTACACCGAGCTTGATTAGTCTGCCCGGAAATGTTACCAATGGAGGAGCGCCCGCGCTTAGTGACGTCGGATGCGATTGGGTAACGACTTTTTCCTTTGCGTACCTTGTATAAATGTATCCGCCAACTATCATAGTTTCTGCGGAACTCTGTTTCCCTTTCTCTAATCACCTAGCTCGGTGGATGGAACCGATTTATCGGTCCACTTGAATAATCGTCCAACCACTTGTGCCGACAACTCCATGGCCACCAGTATCACAACCACCATCACCACAACGGCTACAGCCGCAATGCCCACCAACAATCCAGACTACCCTGATTCCACGGGTCCTGGTCACCCCGAAGTCGTTGAACGTATGTGGAAACCATTATTGAACCAGTTACCCTGGTTGAACATCTCTCCGCCAGGATGTCAACCACCGCATTGGCTCACTTTGCGCGAGAAACCTCTATGGACCACCTTTTGTGATGGCTTCTTCTCTGCAAAAATGGTGTATGCCCATTTGGCTGATTCCATGTCATCCGACCATCGTGTGGACATCGCACCACAATCTCGCAGTCGACCAGCAGCGCTGATTGCCAACTCTATTGCCCCTATCGCATTTCGCACCGATCCACTTCATCGGCTGCGAGTGATGCGTTTTGCGATACTCGCCCTGTTACCGCTAGTGATTGCTCTTGCGATATTGAACACTTTACTTGTATCAAGGTGAGTTGTTTTATGTTCTTTTCTATTCAACTGCTGTCGTTAGCTTGGCAATCACTTCTGTTGTTGGTTACCTCAGCGGGTTATGCTAGCCTTTCGGAACCCCCCCCCCAAATGTCCATCGTGTGAATTGACATCTTCCGTCATGTAATTCTTCTCATTCGCATGTTTTTGATTTATTGTGACGGTGATCTTCAGTGGCTGTTCTGGCTCGACCTCACAGTTCTCAGGATTGAGCCTTTTCTCATTTTACCGAGCCTCAATTCTCCTGATAACAATTGACTCATTATAACAAGAGTAAGAGTTGTATTCATGCATATGCGTTTGCGTGTACGTAACGCTTTGCGAAACCACTTTCTAGTTTGATCAAGTTCGAAGTGCTTCGCTCACTCTGAGCATCTTCTATGCACACTCGCTGCAGCAACTATGAGTGCCCAGTCACATTAGTTACCGTGGATCTTTGTATGTTCTATATACAAATATTATGTTTCCCTACTTCTGTAGAAGTCTTACTGTTCACCCTTCAAAGCTTACGAAGTTTGCAACTGGATGGAAACACGACTTTCCATCGACCGACTCGACATATCCCACCTTCGTTCGTTGGAGTGGCTTTTAAGCGTGACCAGATCATAACCGGACTTCTCCATTCAACCATCACCATTGTCGCAGTCAACACCAATCGGCAGTTCTACTTTGCCTTATATTACTCCGGAAGCTCATGCATGTCCATCTGCCCTTACTCCCCTACCGCCCATCGGGTGAAACCTACCATTTGACACCTACACACTATCGAAGCAGCTTTTGCACACTCCACTGTGTACTAATTGCACATATGGAGTTGACTTCCCGCTGTGCTTCGCTACACCACACGTTTGCCTGTGTTGATAGTTCAGAAGCCTGTCAATCTTTCGTGCCAATTCGTTCCGTTTCAAACGGACGGTTTGTTCTACTCGACATCACTAAAACTGCACATTCTGTGAATAATATTATGAATTATATTTGCACATTTCATTACGCATTTATTGTGTCTCATGGAAGCCACCTTGTTGAGCACCTCATCTGTAGTGCCACCTCCAAAAATTATTAGTTTAAAAACCTAACTACTTATTACATTTTTTGTTTTATCCTACATAAACTGTCTACTATTTTCAATTACTTTTTATTAAATCAAGAAGTACTGGGCGTTAATGGGATAGTTGACCTTGCTTAATATATTTGGGGTGGTTTCGGTTAATGCACATTGTAAATCGTGCTATAAGTTCATTCTATTCCTCACTTTGGTGTGTGATCTCTGATCAATGTTCCATTTGTTTCAAACATTCCTTCCAGCTCGGTCTTGGCCGACAGGTTCCAACCACCACTGTGTATCGATACGTCCTGAACACTATTCACCTGTTTTGTCCATTCTACCTTCTAACCATTTGCTCGCGCCTTTACCTGGTCGGCTGACCTCTGCTCCCACTTTAAGGCTAACTCTGTAATTCGACCCGGTAAACAAATGCCTGACTCACATAACAACAATCGACGAGCTTGCCGATGGAGACGCCGTTTATACATTTTCTCAGCCAATTGAACCCATAGCGCTTTCAAATTCCTCCTTAAGGAAATCACCTTCCTCCATAGATCTCTCAAGATGGTTCTTAACGCTTTCAAGTTGCATTCAACGGACCCAAATACCCCTAAATATGCGTGCTGTTCGTTGAGTGACCAATGTCAGATAAGCAGGAATTATAACATATGAACACACTGTATGGGCTCATATAGTCTGACTTCCCTCGGATCTATGAATAAAAGCGTTCAACACCAGACCCCAGACGACCGAGAGAAAGCGAAATCACCGAAGTCGGACAGTGAGTTCAGTAAGTTTTAGTTGCGAAGCAGACAACTACGGAACACAATTCACTGTCGAAGCGGTATCGACTTTCCCGATAGCTACTAAAAGCGGAAATTCATCCTGTGACCATTATACTAGCCAATATGAAGCGGATCAAAATTCAATGTCAGCAGTTCATCGAAAAAACGATTAGTTGCCGATCTTGCAAGGGTCGGTGAAACCTCGGACGTGTCAGTCGCGACCTCAGATGCACTTCTAACTCGAAGCACTCTCTGGTATGTATACCAATACTCTGGACCTCTGCAACAAATTATCCGAACTTCGACCTCGCCAAGCGTCGATGTCTATTGACCTTGTAATGATAACTGCAACTTGGCTGAACGATGAAATCACGGAGGCAGAGATCGCTCTACCTGGTATGTCCGTCTTACGTAAGGATCGGGTAGGAGGCGGCGTAATTTTGTACCGCCGCAATGATCTACGTCTCCAACTTGTTGACGACCCAGAGCTTCAAGTTGTGGACTCACTTTGGTTCCACCTGCAACTAAGACGTGGCGATACATGTTTAGTTACTCTCGTATACCGTCCTCCCATGTCGATACTGGAAATGGACAACCGTCCCAGCTTCTGCTCTGAAAACTGTTCTGACAGCCCAACTCTCAAGTTCTCCTTGTGGAGGACTAGTTTGCACGCAGTGGATGTTCCGGCCTCACCTAGCGAACAGTTTAAAGCCGAACTACAAGAATGAGTCGCAGGCCTTCCACTCCATAACCACGTTACTTCTCCTGTAAGACTCAGAAGGGGGAAGAGACCGGCGATTTCGGACCTCATTTTTATCAGTGAGGAACTTATAGTCGATACAGTGACAGTGAGCAGTCCCCTGGGGGCTCATTAATCATGCACCACTGCTTCTCCGCTACCTCTGTTACGCTGAACAGTCCAACAAGGTAATCGAAGAGGTCCGCATAATAACACATCACAACATTTTATCTGACCTCATTAACACGGATTGATTTTTTTCTAACAGAACAACCCTTTGTTGTCGCTTGGAGAAAGTTCATCGATCATTACAACACCTTAATAATAAAGACAACAGAAACTAAGACCCTTAGCTCAAAAAGTAAGGTTCTTGCTGAGAAGCAGGACGCAGAAACGAATGGCTTTGAGAGATCCAATTGGGAAAGCATAAAATCTGACCCAAACGCCGGAAACTGTCATGTTTGCATAACTGAGCTAAACTGCAGTGTCAAACTTGCCCTGGAAGATAAACTGAAATACCCACAAGCTTTAGCGGAGAAGTTCCGCTGCAATCCTAAGCTACTTTACAGACATGTTAACCAACTTCACAAAGTATAGAGTGGCATCCGTCTTCTAAACACCGTCTGTTGTCAAGCGCGAACTGCTCACGGAGCAGCTAATGCTCTTAGACACCAGTTTGATTATACTTTTCAGCATGTATCGTCGTCTCATATCATTCTCACGTATCACATCACCGTCAGGACTTAAGCACCTCTCTCTCACAGCCGCAGATGTGCTGAACTGACTACTGTCACTACTAGTGTATAGTTCACCTGGACCAGATAACATACATCCCAAGTCATTGTTGGTAGCTGCCACAAGCTTGGCTGAACTATTATCTCAGTTTTTCCAGCGCTCTCTCAATGAAATGCAGGTCCCAACAATGTGGAAGCGTGGAATAGTCACTTCCATTTACAAGGGAGGCAATCGTGCGGGGCCCGCGAACTACCAACTGATTACTCTTCTTCCTTTACTTGCTAAGATCATAGAGTCTGTCGTTGCAGATGCACTTATGAGATAATTAGAAAGGGGCAATATCATAGTACAAGAGCAGCATGGATTCTGCCAAAACCGCTCATGTACCACGAATATTTTATTAGCCCGTGCTAGCTGGACGGAATCCGTCGATGCTGAAGAAGGAATCGACGCCGCTTACCTTGATTTCTCGAAGACATTTGATCGCCTTGATCACCGGATTCTTTCTCATAAGCTTCGGAGCTACGGAATAGGTGATCCTATCCTAGGCTGAATTTACTCATACCTATTCCAACGACGCTTGAATGTACGGGTTTGTAGCACCATGTCCGACCCGATAGAGGTTCATATGGCGTTCCTCAAGGCTCGGTACTAGGACCAAGGTTATTCCTCGTGTTCGTAAGCGACTTTGCGGAAGTTTTGAAGTCGAACTATCTACTCTTTGCAGATGAACTCAAAATTTGGAGGGCAGTTATACTATTGGACGACCAACTAGTACTTCAGAGTGATCTCGACAGGCCTTAGGAGTGGTCGACTCAGAACATGCTTGAGTTTAACGCTGCCAACTGCAAACTAATGAGCATGCGCCACCAGAGCACCTACCAATATTGAGTGGGAGAACATGTCCTGCAGCGCGCTCCTCATGAAAGTGATCTCGGGGTGCTCGTGAAGGACGATCTTAGACGCTGAAAGCAGGCTGAAATGGCAGTGAGAAAAGCCAGTCAAAGCTTGGGCTTACTGCGGAGCGTGTTTGGCCGGTTTGATCCTACCTTCTTTTCGCAAATGCTCAACGCTTACGTGAGACCGCACTTTGAATAGGCCATTCAGGTGTAACACCCCTGGCAAAAGGGTAGCCTCACTGCTCTTGAGAATCCACAACGGAGAGTGACAAAATATGTTAATGGATTGTGCCACCTGCATTATCATTTGAGACCAATTACTCCGGGAGATTTTAGTGAAGAATATCCTCTTTCGCGTGGTGGTTTCATATTTGTGTCTCAGATCCTTTAGGTCTCTAGCCATCCATGCCGACCTTTGCTGAAATTCCGCCACAACACCTCACCGAGAGGCCGACATTTAAATTTGGCCATACAGTCTAGCCGATTGGAATGCCAACGGAACTTTTTCTCGTTTGCGCTAACTTCACTACTACGCGTTCTTATTTTGATACCTCAATTGTTGTTCTCGTTCTTTACTTACGGAAAATTGTTAAGCCTTGACTTTTATATCAGTGATAAATTCATTGTTCCACTAGGTTTGGTCACTCAATGTCCCGTAGCACTTAGTGGCATTCGTGCCCGCTGGATGCAGCTTGAAAGCGTTAAAGACCACCTTCAGAGGTGGAACCTGATATCCTTAAGTAGGAATCTGTAGGCGTTATGAATTCAGTTTCTCG